GCTGTTTTAGTCACTATGCAGTAATTTAACCGGCACCATTAGAAGGTTTTAGGTTTTATTCAGCACTTTGGATGATGATGGGCCGGTTCAGGCCAGAGTTGTGTTGGTTCAGGTTTGCACTCAGAACTTGATAATGTGGTTTGGGCTGGGTTTGAACAGATTTTTTGTGGAGTTCTGGTCAGTTTTAGGTTCAAAACTTGATGATGTGGGTCGGGTTTGGACAAAACTTTCTCAGACTCGGTTCGGGTTCGATATAAAAGCTTGATGATGTGGTTCGAGTCAGGTTCGAATAGAATTTTGCCGGGCTTTGTTAATTACAAGACTCAGTACTTGATGTGGGCCGGGTCAAGCTCGGGCAGAATTCTTTCAGGTTTGGAAAATAAACTTGATAATGTGGTTTGGTTTGGGTTTGAACAGATTTATTTGGGGGTTCTGGTCAGTTTTGGATTTGAAACTTGATTTGGTTCGGGCCAAGTTAGGACAGAATTTGTTGGGCTCAGTTCGGGTTTGGACTCTAAACCTACCGTCGTTTGGGTAGAGTCGAGTTTGCACAGAATTTTGTCCAACTTGGGTCAGTTTCAGGCTCAGAACCTGATGACGTGGTACAGGTAGAATCAGGATTGGGACAGAATTTTATTGGGCTCTGGTTTTGGACCCAAAACTTGGTGTCGGGTCAGGTTTTGGACAGGATTTTGTTGGGCTCAGTTCGGGTTTAGCCTCAATACTTGATAATGTGAACTGAATTTGATGCTGTGGACAGAATTTAGCTGGGCTTGGCTCTGTAAACACACCCTGCCTTTCCTGCTGTGGCTTTTAATGAGAGCGACCCGCTGCCTGCCGGACTGGGTGGCAGAGAGAAGTTCATCCACAGCCTGGAGAAACAGCAGCACCTCTTACACTCAGGCTGCTCATTCAGCTTCATTTGTACACCAGCACAGCCACTGCAGTCGGCAACATGGCAGACGTTACGGAGCTGGACACCAGCGGCGCTCAAGGACATTAGAGCTGGACCGAGCAAATCAGCCTTCACCCCCGTCCCCCTCGTCCCCTCTGTGGAGAGAAGGACGTGGTTTTCCTCTCTATTATAACAGGTCAGTCTTTCTGTCCTCTAGAAATGAGTCCGGAGCACAAACTCAGTACGGCGTATTTTACTGACCGGCTCATTACTGAACTCAGGGCTGTCTGAGTCTCCATCTTTTACCCTTCAGACTCTCTTTCTCTCTCTTTCTCATCTGTCTCTCACTTATCTGTCTCTCACTTATCTGTCTCTCTTTCTCCTCTGTCTCTCTTTCTCCTCTGTCTCTCTTTCTCCTCTGTCTCTCTTTCTCATCTGTCTCTCACTTATCTGTCTCTCTTTCTCCTCTGTCTCTCACTTACCTGTCTCTCTTTCTCATCTGTCTCTCACTCTTCCTCTTTCCTCTTTTGGCTCCCTTCTTTCTCTGAATTTCCACTCTTCTTTCCTCTTTTTCTTTCATTCTTTCTTTCTTTTTACTCATTCTTTCTTTTATTCGTTCTTTCTTTCTTTTTCTTTCTTTCTTTCTTTCTTTCCTTTACTCATTCTTTTTTCTTTCTTTCTCTTTCTTTCTCTTTTTTTAATTCATTCTTTTTTCATTCCTTCTTTCATTTTCTTTCTTTCTTTTTCTTTCTTTTATTTACTTATTCATTCTTTCTTTTTTTATTATTTTTTTCTTTTTTCTTTAATGCATTCATTCATTGATCTTTTTCTCTTTCTTTTTATTTCTTTCTTTCATTTACTTATTCATTCTTTTTTTTCATTCATTTTTTTTCTTTCATTCATTCTTTTATTCATTCATTGATTTTTTTTCTCTTTCTTTTCTTTCTTTTCTTAGCCTTTACTTTCATCTCCTTTATCCTCCCTCTCTCCCTCTGTTCTGATGCAGGTGTGTGTGTATGTGAGAAAATGGTGTAAAAGTCTCTAATTAGAGAAAGTCTGCGTCTTAAGAACACTTCACCACCTTCTACTCTCTCTCTCTCTCTCTCTCTCTCTCCTCTCCTCTCCTCTCCTCTTTCATCTTTTTCCTCTGTGATAAATTAAAGATGAATTTAATCACAGACTCTTTGATCTGCATTAAGAGGGCTCCGGTAAAGAGTTTAGTTTGGTGTGTTCGGACACGCGCGCCGCTTTTATTCATCTCTCCGTCCGGATCTCGTCCATTCATTATTCCCCCAGAACGGAGAAGATACGATTCAAAAACCCCACAAGCATGATTTTTACCTTTCATATTCAGTTCTACATTACATACTTTATTACATCGCTTAGTTTGAAGATGGAACTAAATATGTGTTTCTCTTTTAAAGGGCCATTCAGTCCTTATGTGGTAATAAAGCTGCAGAAACCACCCATTTGGAATGCATTGTTTTTATGATGTCACAAGACAGACACATTTACATATATCTGCATGTTCAGCTGACAGCAGTTTAGCCCCGCCCACTCATGCTGCAGTTTTAAGGAGTGTTTTAGCCCAGACTGCTGTTTTGAATGAGGCACAATACACACAGTGCAGGGCAGCCAATCAGAACAGAGATCGTTTACATTACATTTACAGTACTGTGCAAAAGTCTGAGATGACCATTTATTTGTATCTCCCAGTAAAAACTGACATTAGGTACAAGTTATTCAGTTATTCATTTACTTCAACGTAAAAAAAGAAGAAAAAAAAACAGAAAACAGAAAATTTATGTAGTAGAAAAGCACAGCTTAAGCAGTTGGTAGGGTGTTGCTGAGCGGTTACTATGGTATTATAGGTGGTTGCAAAGGTGTTGATCTGTGGTTACTATGTTATTCCAGATGGTTGCTAGGGTGTTGCTAAGTGGTTACTATGGTATTTTAAGTGGTTGCAAAGGTGTTGCTTGGTGGTTGCTATGGTGTTGCTATGTGGTTGCTAGGGTGTTGCTAGGGTGTTGCTGAGTAGTTTCTTTAGTATATTAGATGTTTGCAAAAGTGTTCCTAGGTGGTTACTAGGGTGTTGCTGAGTGGTTACTGTGGTATTTTAGGTGGTTGCTATGGTATTCCTAGGTGGTTGCTGTTGTTCCCCACAGGGTTAATAGGATGATTCTAATGGACTTGTATCAACATGTGACATAAGTTGGGTGCACAGACTTTTGCATCCCATGCAAGTATTATTTAAGTTGGGTAACAATAGTGTTGAGCATTGCAATCACTAATAAAACAGAAGCCTCAGTATCAGAATATAATATCAGTGTTTTCAGTGTTCAGTGTGTCACTCTTTTCCTTTATTCAGCTTCCCTTCTTTTCAGGAGACTCACTTTCAGTTTCTCAAAGAAACCTGCAGGGATATTTTCCACACCTCCAAAGTTCAGTCTTAGTAGCTGGTTGATCATTTTCTGAAGTAATCAAACCCATTCAGTGGTGTTGAGGTCTGGACTCTGGGGTGGTCAGTCCATTGTTCAGCTTCTTTGTTTGATGTGTCCGTTTCCTTTTCTCAGTGAGGTTCTTCTTGACAGCTACACATCCTTTCAGACCCACAGCGCTGAGTCGTCTTCTCACAGTGGAAGGATGGACAGAAACACCTGTGGATGTTTTCAGATCTGAAGCAGCTTGATTTTCTCCTCTCTCTCAGAGATGAAAGCTTTAAGTGCTGTTTATCTGATGGGGACAGTGTTGGTGTCTACCAGGTCTTCCAGATGGTTGTTAGGAGTCACATTTTCTCTGTAGCTTTTAATAATTTTGAACTCCAGTTTTGGAAACCATTGTTTATTTTAACTTGTACTTGATGTCTGTTTTGAATGGAAATTAAAGAAAAAAGAAAGACACAGTAACAGAGAGAGTGAGAGAGAGCAAGCGAGCGAGAGAGCAGGGTTTTCTCTTTGGAATGCAGTAACTTTGCCCTCTGTGAAACACTCAGTCAGTGCAGACACTCTGATCTCTCCATTCTTGCTGTCACAGCTTGACTCCTCTCTGCTCCTGTTAGCCTTTCACTCCCTCTTTTCCTCCCTCATCCATCACTGTAAATGACAGAGCAGGAGGGGCGCCAGTGTCTGTCCAGCCTGATAGCGGCTAACACATCACCATTACTTTAAACTGGGCATTAGCACTGTTCTTACGCCGTTTGCAGCCTCTCCTTACACTGTGTGACCATTTCATGTTGAATGCACAAACAGAAACGACCCATAAAAATTGTCACATTATCAATTGCATTATTGTAATTATGAAAAGATGGATTTTCCTCACTTTATTGAAACTAAAGAGAACACACCATTTGGTCCCCCCTGTCCTTACATAATGTTTACAGAAATTAAGCTGCTAAATCAGCCTGTTTTTATTTATTTTGTGATGCCATAAAAACTGCATTTAAAAAATGCATTTAAATGTATCCACCTTTTCAGACTACAGCAGTTTGGCCCCGCCCACTCACACTGAAGTTATAAGGAGTGTTTCAGTCCAGACTGCTTTTTAAACAAGGCACAATACTGGGCAGCCAATCAGAACAGAGCTTATATATATATATCAGTCTAAAGGAACAGCCTGTTTAAATCTGGGCGATGAAGAGGAGCTGAAGAATGGTCATAGAAGAGTGTGTGTGTGTGTGTGTATATATATATATATATATATATATATATGTATATATATATATATATATATATACACACACACACACACACACAATGTTTTATTATATGTGCACTTTATATATGATTGCTGTCTAACAATACACTTAAGAAAAGAAAGTGTTAATAATATTAAAGTATGTATAGTAATATGAAAGTATATATTATAATAAAATGACACCTATTTGATGTGTGTCTGCAAAATAAAATATGTGAGAAAAAGGTTTATTTTCAAATAGGTTTATGTAATTAAGAAGGAGAAAGAAAAGACAAAGATAAAGGAAAGAAAAGGAAAAAAAAACAAAAACAATGAGTAAAGTCGTGGTTTGGTGGTCACTCACTGTCCTGGAGTGTATGACTCTCATACACTAATTCTCTCTCTCTCTCTCTCACTCTCTCTCTCCCCGCAGACCCTGGAGGCGGTGTTGAGCTTCAGGTACAGCGGTGGTCTGGGGCAGGTGGAGGGTTACTACAGAGAGATCAGTCTGGGGGTGAAGGTGGACGTGGAGCCCTCAGTGTTCTTCACCAGAGTCAGCACACTGCCTGCTTCCAGGTACCCCATACATACACAATCAATATCCATAATAATCAATATCCATATACTGTACAAAAGTTTTAAAGACCTGAAAATTCGCTCAGAAAAGCATTAATATTGAATAAATGCAAATAACATTAATACAGTAAGTATTGATTTCATGTATGTCAGTGTTCATCTGTTCAGTTCTAAACCTCTCTTCAGGGACACCCAGTATTATTTATGTGTAGAGTCCTAAGTAAGCGAAACGTCGCTGATGCGGACAGTATCAGTAATATCAGTCACGTTAGCACAGCAGGACACCGTCAGCAGTCTGCACTGCTCTGAGGACTGTGGAGAAATCAATGAGCAGCAAACTGACAAAATTAACAGCAGAGTGGAGTTTCAGTTCCCCTTAGAGCCTCCACTGTAACGAGAACCCACGAGTGTATGAACGAGAGTGAGAGGCTACAGTCACAGGGGGGTTTAATCGTTGACTGTGTGTGATATTTAAGATCATTTCTCTTCTCTTCTCTTCTCTTCTCTTCTCTTCGTCTTTTCTCTTCTCGTATCATTTCTGTTCTTTTCTATTATTTTTTTTTCTTCTCTTCTCCTCATTTTTCTTCTCTTCACTTCTTTTTTCTCCTGTCCTCTTCTCTGATCTTCTTTCATTTCTTTTTTCTTCTCTTCTTTCCTTTCCTTTCATCTTCTCATCTCTCTCATTTCTCATTTTTTTCTTCTCTTGTCTTCTCTTCTTCTCTTGTCATCTCTTCTCTTCTCATATTATTTTTCATTTCTTTGATTTTTCTTCTCATCTCTTCTTTTTAATTTTTTTTCTCATTGCTCTTCTCTTTTTTCTTCTCTTCTCATTACGCTTCTCTTTTTTCTTTTTGTTTCATTTTTCTTCTTTTCGATTTGATTTCTTTTTTTCTTCTTTTCTCCTCATTTTACTTCTTTCATTTTTTTCTTCTCAATTATTTTTCTTCTCTTTTGTTCTCTTTTCTTCTCTTTTTCTATTCTTGTATCATTTCTGTTCTTTTCTATTGGATTTCTTTTTTTGTTCTCTTCTTTCCTTTCATATTCTCTTCTCTTCTCTCATTTGCTTTAATTTCTTTTATTCTCTTCTTTTTTTCCTCTTCTTTCTTTTCATTTCTTTTTTCTCTTCCATCTTTTTCTTTTTTCTTCTCTTTCTTCCCATTTTCTTAATCTCTCAGTCTTTCTCTCTCTCTCTCTCTGTCTCTGAGCTGTGGTTTGACCTTGTGTGGTATATGTGAGTCCTTGCGTTTCTCTCGTTCAGCGCGGTTTTCTGCGGTATGTTCTCTCTTTCTTATGTAGATACAGGAGGACTGAAGCGCAGGATCAGCCTTATTGTGTATTCAGAGTGAAAGGGCTGGACCTGCAGCCCTGTTGGCTGTGCTGAATAATTTAGCCGGGCGTAGGTGTCCGCTCCAGACCACACAAATCCTTCTGAATACTTATTGGAGTCGGCCCTCTTTTTCTCCTCGTTTAACCTTTAGACTTCCAGACCGATTATCGTCCCTTCACTCTATTATTTAAATCATCCTGTGTCTTCAGAGTGGAAACTTTCCAGGAGGACGAATACAAGTCCTTAACTTTTCATGTACATTAATGTTACAAGACATGACGGAATAAAACCTCGTATCTCCATTTTTGTTGTTGTCTACTTTACAGAATTTGAAAATGCCACCAGACCTTCACATCATGCTGAAATTTCATGTTGTATGGACCAATAGAAAAGCTCCACAATTACTTTAAAAATATCTCATTTTGTTAACTTCCATTCAAAGTTAAGAACATTTTTTCCTTCTCCTGTGAAGCCACCGTAATGGAGATACAAGGTTTTGTCGCGATATATATATACACACATATATATATATATATATATATATATATATATATATATGATATTCATTTATGTTGGTCCATTCGTCATGAAATGTTCACATGATTTAAAATACAGCAGCGGTGTTAAAATATTTTATGCTGTTCTGTTTTGAGGAAACAAATGCAATCTATATATAATCTATATAAAAAAATATTAAGCATTCATGGGCTACGATTTTGTAGAAACACTCGTAAGGATGCACCGGTACCGTATTTTTCAGACGTAGTACGAGTATGTGTTTTTTTTTTTTTAGTACACATCGATACCAATGTCATACTGGGTAATCTAATTAGAATAAAGTAGTTATTGGTTAAACGAGTGCACTATACCTTAAAATTAAATCAGTAAAATGTAGCTGACTTACAATAACATGCATTTGCTAGCTGTGCTGCATTAGTTACCTTGGATCTAGGTGCACTGCGGTGGAGAGGAGCGGGTTTTGTTCCATTTCAGAAAAGTGCTCCTGTAAAGCTGTAAGTAAAGTAAGTTTCATAGTTTTGATCCTCACTTGTCTCTTACAACATCAGTCTCTGTAGCACAATGACAGCAGGAATCACATCTGAAGCTAACACATCCAAGGAGCTCACATTTCATGTTTTTAGCCGTAAATGAATGTCCTCTAAAGCCAGACTTACACTGAGCGATTTTAGAAATATTTTAGAAGCATTACTGCTACTGATTACTGATTGGTTGGCATTACTGCTACTGAGTGTTGATTAGTTAGCATTACTGCTACTGATTACTGATTGATTGGCATTACTGCTACTGAGTGCTGATTAGTTAGCATTACTGCTACTGAGTACTGATTGGTTGGCATTACTGCTACTGAGTGCTGATTGGTATCATTACTGCTTGATTGGTCACTCCTCCCGCTCTGTAGCTTTATCATTTCATTTTGGCCAAAAGGATCCAAAAAGAGAAGAATAGAGTCGAGCAAACTTCAGTTCCTAAGCTGACAGATGCTGGATATACTAAGAAGCTCCACCGCAGATCTACAAGTTACACAGTTTTGGAAAAATGTTTTTCTGAGCTGCTTCTTTTGCTTGTCTACTCAAGCTGTTTTTGGCAAGATCTCTTTTACTTTGTCTGCAGGCATCATTTAATTACGGTAACAATCCTTTACTTAAATATGGTTTAGGCTGCTCCACCCACCTCTGATTAACTGTTTGGTTAATAGAGGTTAAACCAGATGGGATCCATTTGTAGAGTAATTTTCAAAGAGATTAATGCATTGATTTTCCTTTGAAAGGAGAGAAGGAGGATGATGGAGAGAGGTGATCTTGCAATAAGGAGAGAGAGGGAGAGCGCTTGTGGTGGAGTCAGCGCTGCTTTTCTCTGCCAGTCATTTTCAGTTTCTCTAAATGGTTGGAGAATTGGCAGCAGCTCTGGAGATGATTCATCCTCTCATTGATCACTGCCAGAAGAGAAAAAATTACAGATATGCTCTGATCCTCATCCCTCCATCACTACAGTGGGAGCAGCAGAATGACAAATTCCCCCTGTAGCGATGTTTGATAAGTTGGAAAAGGCGCAGTGCACAAATTATTCCATATTCAAGAAATGCTGTAGATGTAACATGTTCTAATCCTCTATGCATCTTTTAAACATCATTCTTTCCAATAATGATAATTTATCGTCAATACAATAACATTGTGGGATTGGCCAGGGGACGGTAAGTGAGTCCACCTTAAATTCCTCACTCTCATAACAGTATAACTCATATGTGAATGTCATAGTAGTTACTGAGTAATCCAGAGTAGTTACTTTGTTGTAGATACAGAATAGCTTGTAGTAGTAACTGAGCAATTCATAATAGTTACTGAGTAATTCATAGTAGTTACATGCAGTGGATACTGAATAAAATATAGCTGTTACTGCATAATTCATAGTGGATACTAAGAAATCCATATTAGGTACTGGCTAATTCATATTAGTTACTCAGTAATTCATAGTGGATACTAAGTAATCCATACTAGGTATGGGATAATTCATGTTAGTTACTCAGTAATTCATAGTGGATACTAAGTAATTCATAGTAGGTACTGGATAATTCATAGTAGTTACTCTGTAATTCATAGTGGATACTAAGTAATTCTTAGTAGGTACTGAAAAGTTCGTAGTAGTTACTCTGTAATTCATAGTGGATACTAAGTTATTCTTAGTAGGTACTGGATAATTCATAATAGTTACTGAATAATTTATAGTCAGTACTAAGTAATTAATAGTACGTACTGAAAAAATCATAGAGGTTGATCAATAACTCATTGTAATTACTAAATAATAATTCATAATGGATACTGAATAATTAGTTGTTGATCCTGAATCATTTATAGTACTTACTCAGTCACTGAAGTTATAAGGAGTGTTTCACTGTGGGCTGATTTGTGACTGAAGCACAGTATAGGGCAGCCAATAAGAACAGTGATCATTGGCATATATCTGAAAGGCACTGTAACAAAAACAAACCCACATGAATGTCACAAGTAGGCGTTGCCCTTTAAAGCCATGTTAAAATATTCAGTAAGTTCCCCTGAGTGTTCCTGCAGACTCACGGAGACTAATGCACTCATGTACCTGATCTTTCGTTATGCTGTACGCTTGTAGTGACAGTAATGACAGAAAACACTGTAACAAAACAGGCAGAGGGATGAAGAGAGGCTGCATTCATATCAGTCTTAAATGAGTGTTAAATGACTGTTTAAACAAAAAAACAACTGTAAAATTAAAATACAAGGAAAATCCAGTATACGGGTCTTTAAATGCACATGTGATATGTATGTAATTGTGTGTGAAGGTTCTAACTCCCCTCTCTCTCTCTCTCTCTCTCGCTCTCTCTGCAGTACTCGTCAGTGCCATTTGCTGTTGGATGTGTTTAACCCCACTGAGCATGAGCTCACTCTGACTGCCAGAAACCAGCAGCTCATTCTGCACTCCAGCGAATGCCAGAGGTACAAACACAAGCACAGATACCAGAAACTGCAGCTCATACCTGTAATACTACCCACAGCACTGTGTCAGAGTCAGAGAGCACACGGTTTATTTAATTCACAGATAGAACAGCCATTAAAGTACAAGTTATTATTTTTCACTGTCAGTAAAAAGGCATAATTACACAGAAGCCTCGACAACTAGATATAATATCCCCCCTTTTCAGTATTTGTTGTTGTCTACTTTATTCCAGCTTCCCTTCTTTTCAGGAGACTCACTTTCAGCTTCTCAAAGAAACCTGCAGGGATATTTTCCACACCTCCAAAGTTCAGTCTTAGAAGCTGGTTGATCATTTTCTGAAGTAATCAAACCCATTCAGTGGTGTTGAGGTCTGGACTCTGGGGTGGTCAGTCCATTGTTCAGCTTCTTTGTTTGATGTGTCCGTCTCCTTTTCTCAGTGAGGTTCTTCTTGACAGCTACACATCCTTTCAGACCCACAGCGCTGAGTCGTCTTCTCACAGTGGAAGGATGGACAGAAACACCTGTGGATGTTTTCAGATCTGAAGCAGCTTGATTTTCTCCTCTCTCTCAAAGATGAAAGCCTTAAGTGCTGTTTATCTGATGGGGACAGTGTTGGTGTCTACCAGGTCTTCCAGGTGGTTGTTAGGAGTTTTCTTTATAGTTTTTACTCATAAGTCCAGTTTTGGAAATTCCTGACTTTCTCTTTCCTTATGCCGTCTCCTCTCGTACTTAATTTTGACTGGAGATCAAATAAATGAAAGGTAGTCTGTGATTTTTGCAGTGTACTCTGTGAGTAGGCTGTAGTGAGGTAATGCTATACTTATACCAAAGCCTAATCTGATCCTTCTGGTCTTTTAGTTTTTCCCAAAATGCTGCATTTGGGTTGTAAACAGTATCTCACGATACAATATTATCACGATATGTTGCACACGATAATGATGTCATGATACTGCAATTCTGTGATACTCGATATATTGCAAGGCAATCCTCTACATCATGATATCTGAGTAACTGAAGAGAATAAAAGACTCCTAAACAGGCAAATAGCAGAAATTGTGTATTTATTAGTGTCAGTTTCATTGACTTTGACGAACAATATGGAACAATGTACAACAAAGCGCAGAGCTTAGCTTTACGCCTCTTGAACACACATACACTGACTGCATGTGTCATCATTCCAAGTCCAGGTCAGACCTTTGACCTGAAAGTGGACGGTACCTGTGTGAATTGTTTCCCCCTGTTGTCCGCCGTTTCTCCCCTGTGAGTTTCTTTTTCTTCACCGCAGGTTTACCCTCATGAAGGGTAAGTCATGAAGTACTGAATCTGGAAAATCTAATTGGAGAGAAGCTCTGTTTAGATTAGATTTAAGATTAAGTGACCCTTATTAGTCCCACAATGGCGAAATTTCACCTCTGCATTTAACCCATCCGTGCAGTGAAACACCACATACACTAGTGAATACACACACACTAGGGGACAGTAAGCACGCTTGCCCAGAGCGGTGGGCAGCCCTTTCCGCAGTGCCCAGGGAGCAGTTGGGGGTTAGGTGCCTTGCTCAAGGGCACCTCAGTCATGTACTGTCAGCTCAGGGGACCGAACCAGCGACCTTCTGGTCACAGGGCTGGTTCCCAAACCTCCAGCCCACGACTGCATGTTTTTGTTGTGAAGACCAGCAAAATGTGTCCACTTCTACTGACCGTTCATGCTTTCTGATCATTGTGAGGTAGTGTGGCCTAGCAGTCTAAGGCGCTGAATTAAGGCTCCAGTCTCATGACTGAGGTGCCCTTGAGCCAGGGACCTAACCCCCAGCTGCTCCCCGGTCGCCCCAAGTGCACCGCTCGGGTCAAGTGTGCTCACTGCCCCCTAGAGTGTGTGTGTATTTACCAGTGTGTATGTGTGTGTTTTGCTGCACAGATTATGTTATGTTGAAGGTTAAAATGTGGAGGTGAAATTTCCCCGTTGTGGGATTAATAAGGGTAACTTAGGCTACGTTTACACAGCAGGTAAAAGTGGCCCAAATCTGATTTTCTCACCAAATCAGATTTTTTTTGTTTGGCTCTTCACAGTATCGTGTAAATGTGACCTGTGTGCAACATCAGTCTGAACAGATCAGCTCCTAAACCGACCCACATGCGCAAAAGAACAGTGCGTCATGTTGCTTCATGCGGCTCATCCAGAGGTAAACAATCATAACTGCCAGCGAACGCCAGTCACTCCCAGATGTTTCAGCTTCATCTTTATCATCATCACAGGAGCCAACATGAAGCTTCACTGACTGACAGGTGGGCTCCCAGAATGTGTTCGAGCCGTAAAAAGGGCGCAGTCACTTCTTTGGTTCGTTGCTGCCTCATTCTCTTGTGGCTACGCTTGGCTGTTTCGATCGAAATCTCTTCGAACACTGAGCGGTTGCGATAAGTGCCTTCTAATGTTTTGGAACAGAAACATCAGACTAAATGTTTATGAGGTCACGTCAGCGTGAAACTCTGACGAATGTTGAGTTGGATTGACGTAGAAGTCGTGTGAATTCCGATCTGGCTGTTCAGAGTCACATTGCCACAGATCGGATACGGATCAGATTTCAGTACCACATATGAAAGCGTCTCAAATCGGAATTGAAAATGTCAGATTCAGTGTGTTTTTGCTGTTCACACTGACACACAGACACACATCTGTGTCACATATGAAGAAAAAGATCGGATTTGGGCCACTTTTACCTGCTGTGTGAACGCAGCCTTAAACTTAATCTCATATGTGGTCCTCACAAAGGGTTAAATACAGAAACCGGCAGCACATGCACACACATACACACACAGTGCGCCCTGCTGGCTGAGCGGTGTAGGGAGTGTGCTGAGAGTGTGTGAGTTGTGTGGATTCAGAGCTCCAGCAGATCTCAGTGTGTCAAATCTCTCACTTTCAGAGCTGTTTCAGTCTTCAGGTATTTTTACTGGTTAATTAGCGCTCAGGCTGGCGCTGTAGATCTGCTCTCGGTCGCTGTGTTAATGCTTTACGTCATTACTGTCCTGCACTCCTCACAAACCGGAGCAGGTGCTTTTTGCAGCCTCTGCAGTTCTCGTTCCGCACTCCTCTCTGCTCCTGAACGGCTCATATCCTACTGCTGCTTTATTTCCTCCTCGAGGTCACATTTGTCTGCTTTTTTGTACCAAAAATGTTTTTCCGTTACCGTTTATAATCACCTCTTTATCACAGGCTGCTTTCGCTACTGTGCCTTTAAGACTGACATATGTAAATGAGCTCTGCTCTGATTGGCTGCCTTGTTTCGTGTGTCTTTCAAAAAGCACTCCGGACACTTTTTATAACTTCAGTGTGAGTGGGCGGGGCTAAGATGTAGTCTCTCTCTCTCTCTCTCTCTCTCCTCTCTTTTACTCTCGCTCTGTCCATCTCTGTCGTTTTCTGTCTTGTTCTCTCTTTTGCTCTCCTTCTCCCTCTCTATTTCTCTTTTTATGTCTCTCTCTCGTTTTCTTTCTTTCTGTCTCTCCATCTCTCTCTTGCTTTGTCTTTTGTTCTTTTTTTTTCTGTCTCACTGTTTTTTTTTCTTTATCTCATTCTCCCTCTCTCTTTCTCTCTTTCTCTCTGTCTGTCACTTTCTTTCGTTTCTTTTTCTTTCTTCGTTTCTATCCATCTCTCTCTTCCACACTCTTTTCTGTCTATATTTATCACTCTCTCTACCTTCTTTCTTTCTTCTGTCTCTCATTCTCTTTCTCTTTTTCCCATTTGTACATATCTCTCTCCATTCTCCTCCCCTTCTCCATTCTCCTCCCCCTTCGTCTCTCTTTCTGTCTTTTTAGTTTTATCCATATCTCACTCTTTTTCTACCTCTCATTTTCTTTATATCCATTTCTCTCTATCTCTCTCACTCTCTCTCTTCCTCTCTCTTTCTCTTTTTCTCCTTCTTTTTGTCTCTCACTCTGTTTCTTTCTCTCTCTCTATCTTTTTTCTCTGTCTTGCTTTCTCTCTCACTCTCTCTCTCTTTCCATCTCTCATTTTGTCTGTTGTCTCTTTTTCTCTCTCTCTTATTCTCTATCTCATTCTCTCTCTTTCTCTCTCTTTTTTCTGTCACTTTCTTTCGTTTCTTTTTCTCTTTCTTAATGTCCACCTCTTTCTCTACCACTCTCTTTTCTGTATGTTTATCACTCTCTCTATCTTTGCTCTTTCCTCCGTCTGTCATTCTCTTTCTCTTTTTTCCTGTCTGTACATATCTCTCTCCATTCTCCTCCTCTCTTTTTCTGTCTATCAAAATCTTTCTGGCTTTTTCATTGTCTCTCTCTCTCTCTCTCTCTCTCTCTCTCTCTCTCTCTCTCTATCTATCTATCTATCCATCCATCTATCTATCTTGCTTTGTCTCTGTTTTTATTGCTCGTTGCAGGTTGTAGATCCTGGTGATCCAGGGTTTTTGTGACATCACAAATACAAAGAATTCAAAATGGGTTGTTTGTGCAGTTTGTTTCCCTATATGGGCCGTGCGGAGAGCGGACGTATATTTTAACACTGTTCAAACTACATCAAACGTTTTTTTTCATTAAAAAAAGAAAGGAACATTATTTTTTATGATATTGGCTCCTTAATATATCACAGAGCGCATCTCAGTCGCAGTGTGTAACAGAGTAACGACAGTTCTAGTGTTTGTGTTGTGCAGTCCTGCTGCTCTACAGTGAGGTGTGTGTGTGTGTGTGTGTGTGTGTGTGTGTGTGTGTGTGTGTGTGTGTCGGAGTTCTTTTCTCCTCCTCCTCTGCAGCAGTTCATCCTCTCCTCCCTCTCTTTGCTCTCCAGCTTTAATCCACCTGGGCTCTGCAGCGTTACAGCCGGACGCCCTTTAACCCCCATTTCACTTCATCTAAACAACACACGCAGCTCTGAGTGTCTGTATGAAAGAACCGGGTTTTGGTTCTGGTCACGTTCACGTTCCTATGGACTGTGCAGATAGCAGGGACGTGTGTGTTCTGTGTGTTCGGGCTCGTTCTGATATTGGAGTGTGTGTCAG